TTCTCTCTCTCTCTCTCTCTCTCTCTCTCTCTCCGTAGTCATAGACCGAACACTCATGCGCTTGTTATCGGTGTATGCACCGACTGTACACCGTCGTACGAACGAACGTTACCACCTGAACACACGTACGCCGTGGTTCTGTACACGTGCGTCTACGTGCCTGGAAGAAGACTTCGGGCCCCCCCGATATTTATGGTCAGATATGGGACAAAGATAAAAGAAGCATCGAGAAACGCTTCTCGTTATTCCCTGGTCAATACGTCTTTAGGTTGTTTCGTTTCCCGGGAAAGGAACGTTGGAATCTATAGTGATCGCTCATGCATTGATTTTTCTACGTGAAAAACGCGGCTTCGCTCTCATATTCGTATAGATTATGAATAGAGGGGTATCGGTAGAAGGTGGTATCTGACGGGATATAGTGGATACGTATACGTAGATGTGTTTGGGAAGATACATTGGAAGGTATCAGTGGCGGTCAGTGATCGAGGCTCGACCTAGAAATAAACCTCTCAAGAAACGGTTCTCTTGGTTATACTATTCCGTTAAATCGTTCAATACCCGGAGCCGAATGCAAAAGTCAGAATGGGAGGAAAATCCTTGGATATTTGGCCGCGGAGTTAATGCACTTAAGAATTGAAATTTCTTGAAATTCCTGAAAATAAGGATATAAATCAGATTTTACCGTTTCAAACTAAAAATTCGCAAAATACGTAAAAAATGAATCGAAAAAAGCGAGAAATTTTTTAATGGAAGAAGATAGAATCGAATAAAAAGAAATTTAGCTTCGTTGAATTGATTAAACATCGTTTATGAAGAAATCAATTTCGTTATCTATATATCTATAAAAATGAAAAAAGATTGATTCTCCGATGAAATCAGATCGATTTTGAATCCTATTCTTTATTCTTTCTATTCTTATCTTCAAATTTTGGTTGTCCAATAAAAAAAAATTTTTTCCATTCGAAAAAATCTGTACGAAAATTTGTTTTTTAAAACTTTGGTCATTCACATATATTTACATTATTAGCAACTTATATACCGTTATATATATTTTATACGCGAAAAATAGAATATAAAATTGTATAAAATGAATAAAAAGAATCAATTAAGAACGCAGATTAAATGATAAAATACTCATTTCTTTTTCTTTCTTAATGTTTTTCTTTTATATTTTCTGCACTTATAATAATTCAAGAGTAAACTCAAAATCTTTTGAACAATTTTCCTTATTTCTTTTTTTTCTGTATACTTGATAAAAATAAATATTCTGTATTTATACTCCAACTCAAAAAAAAAAAAAAGAAAAAAAGAAAAACTTAAGCGTATTTATTCATTCACGATTCAAGGAATAAAAATATAAATGTAGGAAAAAAATACGCTTAAAATATTGTTTTACGCGATACTTGAAATATAAAACATATTATTAATGAAATGTCTTTAATTATTGGTATAGTGAACGATATCAATGTTCATTAATTAACATTTTTAGTTTTCGTTTTATTTAATATTCTTGCTACGCATCTTGGAAAAATTTTTCTCCCATAACTACTTCGTACCTCAAATGTTTCACCGTTTCTACAAGTTTGCCTAGAAGCATTCGCTTTCCTCAAGCAGTTTATTCGTAAACAAGAAAAAAGTTTTAAATCTGATGAGGGCGCAGTAAAATATTCGGGTCGTTTCGAGGCAGCCATCCTTGCAAGCTTGCTCTAACCTTACTTTATCGTTACCTCTATAGCTCTATTTCACGTTAATCCAGAGAATTTCAAATAAAATGCTCTAAAATAATCCATTTAAAATATTACAGCAATTTTCTTAATATAGAGATTTAACTAGAGATTTAATATAGAGATAAACGAAATAACAATTTAAAAAATAAATAAAATTTTCTATCAATAGCATAGAAAAATATATATATAATTTTTAAGAAAATAAAAGTAAAAGATGATTTGGATAAGTTAAATGTCGCGAAACGATAAAGCGAAATAATATTTTCTAAACGACATTCGTCATCTTGTACCGGCGTCTTGAAATACGCGAGAAAAGAAGAAAAGTATAAAAAGATTTATAAAAAGAAGAAAAAACTTACCCGTGACGCTGAGCAGCGACATATTCGAAGTTGTTCTGTTAGATCGGTTTAATGCTGAGAGTTTCGTTTAATTGGCCAAGCAACACATCATTGGCATGGAAATCTGTAGGAAAGTGATGCAGCTATATAACGAGACACGCCGGATCGAAGAAGCACACTCGCGTATACGACGTATAACCTCCTTTCCGCACCGATGTTATTATTTTCCTTTTTTTTCGCACTGTGCGCCTAGTATCACGTACAACGTGTGAATGTGAGAAACACGTGTGTTTTATATATGCATATACACTCGTATATATGTATATATGTGTATATAATATGTATGCATATATATATTGATATATATATGTAAGTATTACAGAGAAAGAAACAGAGAAAAAGAGATAGAGAAGGGGCGGATGAGGCATACAGAGAGACAGACAGAGAAGGATACAATACGTATATGCGTGTCGCGATATGGCACTACACGAATCGAAATTTCAGGGTAGAAGTACGAATGCAACGGGCAGTCCGATATCACACTTCTCCTGTTCTTTTGTTCTCTATTTCCTCTTGTATTTCACCGTTTTTCTTCCTCATTCGCATGTGGCTACATATTCACACTGTGTCTTTCCACTCGCAACAATTTTTACCCGGCACGTGTGTATCAACACAACAAGGTTATCTTGGTTTTTATGTTATATTCTGATGAGACTCTGTCGCGCAACGTTCTTGTCGATTGTACACGAATACCAATGAATTTACACGTACTTGAAATTCGAATTTCAACCAACAACGAGTCTACGAATTTATAACTTTGCGTACGCGCACTATATGTTCGACGAATTTATTGTCACTAATATCCACGATACACAAGATCACACGCGTATGTACATGTACGTATATATGTATGCACAATCTATATATGTTTCGTTCCGTTTAATTCCCCATTTTATATAAGTCAGAAGCTTTAGTCTCTGCTTAATGATCAGAACAATGATTAATGTGTTATTATTGCGTTCGGCGTAAATTATATGCACGAGGGTCGTTCCGTTTCAGGTCGTAACCGTTACCACGCCGGGTATTGTATGAATCACAAACGCGATTACCATCGACACGGCGAAACAGCGAGTGGCTGTTGGTCACGCGGAAAATCGTGCTCGCGCGTTCTGGCGGTTAACACTGTTACTGTTCTCGCTCGCAAACACTATTACTCTCTTGTCGTTTATCGGACACGCCACGTTTGCCACTTTGTCGTATTCCTTTTCGTCCTGTTGCTCCTTCGCGTTTGGCTCGGTCGATGCTAAGTTGAAGCACGTCGGTTTCACTTGCGGTTCGTCGATCCTTACGAATAGTAATGACGAGTCGTCCTCGTGGTCGTCGATGAGCGTACGGCGATCTGACTTCAACAACGAGGCGGCGATCCCAACACGAGGATAGTAGTAATAATAGTAGTAGTAGTAGTAGTAGTAGTACGGGAACGGCAACGGCAGCGCCAACGCGACGCAGCTGCTGGTCCTGTGCAGGTCGGTGGCTACGGTGTCGGTGTCGATGTTGTCATCTATCCGGCTGAAATAAGGCATTGCCGTAGCACCGCAGGGTGTTTGTTCGGACCGCTTTTGTGCACCGTAGGTTCGGCCGAGCGCCTCTCGCTTCAAGAGGAGCGCCCACCGTGCCACCTTTCTCGTTATTATCATAGTAGCAGGGGCTGCAGTGCATGCGCCGGTTTGCACGTATCCCGTGCTCGTCAAGGAACCGTACACCAACGACAGGCGCCACGTCCTCGTCGTCGTCTCGAGGCACGACCGGTTAAGGGCATTTCACAACGATCACAGAGAAAAACGGGACGGATAGAGGGAACACGGATCAGGACCGAAAGAAACGAGGTATACGCGCGTATATATATATATATATATATTATATGTATATGTATAAGCAGATTTTGCAAGGAATTGGTGGACAAAAGGTGAGAAAAGAAAAGGATGTAAAACAAGAGAAAGAGAAACGGAGGGAAAAGGAAGAAGGAAGAACGAAGGTATAAAGGATATGGGGAAGGTTAAATAGCACGCACCACGAGCAAAATCAACGAGTACTATTCCAAACGAGACGATTCAGTTCACTAGTGCCTCTTTCTCTGTTTTGGTCGCGGTTGCACTGATCGCGATGTCCCGTCGTTGCACGTTGTTTCTTTGATTGTTGATATGAACGATATGAAATACGAAATTATACCGTATAGCACAGACGTGTACGGTATTCCGGATGCACTACCACATTAATGCGATGAAACGTTGTTACGAACGTACGCGGACTGCTCGACGTCGAGCACTGTGCGGACGGAGACGCCTCCGACACGCCGCCGCCATCTTGCTACGTCAAGCAAATGGCATAGCGCCGGCGTGGTATCGTCGGAAATCTACGAACGTCACCGACGTCGTACGATCGTTTCGACGAGCGACCACGAATCAACCACCCTTTTCGGCTGTTCTCGCGGAACTGCCGTGCATTTCGCTTCGATTGTTTTCTCATTTCTAATTCGACGTTTCTGTCGACGATTGCACGCTCGATTGACGTTCAGTCAACTTCCTTTTCAAATCTTTCTGGACATTTTATCGTTTCTTTTATCACATTGATTAAAATTTCTCTTATCTTCTTTTTTTTATTTTTTTTTTATTGCTTGTACAATGTATTATGCACTTTCATATAACGTGTTAATTATTGTGATAAATATCGTGTCCTATGAATTCAAATGTTTTTCGCGTATAAAAATTTCAACATGATACAAATAATATATGTAAGAAATTGATTAAGCGTAATATAAGTACGAATTGAAAATCTATATTTTTAATAAGTTTTTGCACTTTCTACTCAAATGTTTTTATTTCTCAATTATGAACCAAAACTATCATTACTTTTATTATATTTAGTTATAAGTTAATTAATCATTTTCTTTATTAATTTTATATTAATAAAGAATTCTATTAATTTTATATTATACTTAGAATTGATCATCTTAATTTTTTATAGATATACTGATAAATTTATATCTGTATTAGCTATATGTAGCAATATTAGCTAAATATATTTAAAAAATTATTTTATTAAATTGAAATCTATATTTATAGATATATAATATTAATAATATAATTAATAATATAACTCACTAACTTAAGATCGAAATTACGCATTTTAGGTTAGAAAATTGGTTCGTTTGAATGGGAAATCTTGTTTCTCGCGTGAGAAACAACTATAATATAAAGTTGAACAAGCTAGAAGACATGCAATGTCTAGAATTTGCGAATCACATCCGAAATAGAGCAATATAACATTCGACTGAATAATAATATTTTCAATATAATCGTAGTTCAAAATATTTGAATAATAATATTTAATAATTTTTTTTCAATTAAGCGATGTTATTTTTCAATTCTTTGTAAAATCTGATTCAATTGATAATTTACAGACAGAATTAAGCAAAATAATGATATGGAAGTATCAATAACGGATTCATTACTTTGAAGCCAGCATCAAATACTGACTTGTACCACTGGGAAATCGTTTCTCTTGTTCCGCGATAATACTACTTGTTCATGTCCTCCATGCAGCAATATAATTGATATGGAGACATGTCTACATATTTCATAAATTTACTTAGCTTTATTGAATTCTATATTCATAAATAAATAAATTTTATAAATTATTAAGATAATACATATAATAATAAGACAGTAAAACTAATAAATAACAATTTGTTAAATAATGCATTTTTTATTATATAAATTAATATAAAATAATATAAATTTAATAAAATTTTAATATATTTAATATATAATTTTAATGATATTTATGATATTAATAAATAATTTAAATTATTATCTATTAATGTTTCTCAATTTCTTCTCCTGTAATTCTTATAATTCTATGTTCATATACAATGATTATAAGACTAAATACAAATCGTGTACGAGTTATATAAAAATATTGGAAGTTATATAACAGTTTTGTTGGACCGCGTAACTTGAACCGAGAAAAATATTTCTGAAAAGTAGCCGGTATTTGGTCGAGAGAAAGCGGAACTTTTGTGGCTCGCTTTCAATGCGTCGTGTTGGTAGTCGTCTTACTCGTTTCAGGCATCACACGAAAACCATTTTACTTGGATCTTTTCTCAACTTCAGCTCAACATCTGATCATTCGCCCACGTTTACCATTCTAAGTGACGTAAGAATGACGTAATACACAAACGTTGCTCTTATACTCCATATGCCACTTAAAAACATTTTCTATCTATCTCTATTTTACGTCATTCATTACGCAGAATGATATGCATGATTACAAATATCCTATGCATATTGATATATGGTTTTTTATTCAAATCTTTTCAGACTTATAATATCTGTTATTGATTTTTTTACTATAAAGTGATCATGTCAGAAAAGAACAATATAAAAGTCGATAGATTAAATCAATACTTATATTAGAATGCAATCTAAGAATGTATTTCTTTTTTTTTTTAATGAAATACAAGAAAAAATGATTAATAGAGATAATTTATAATTTAAGTTACGTATTATATTATAACAAATTATAAGTGGGAAATTGCACAAAGAAATTCATCAATATTCGAAACACGTTCCAAGTGGTCTTCCATCAGACTGAAACTTGTGATAGAAACCGCACTTCGTTCATTTTCTTCATCTAACTTAACGAAACTTTGCCAACGAAGTTTCTTTTACTGATTTCCTTAGCTCCCATTGTGATACGCTCTTCTTTACCTGAATGGGTTATTCGAATCGTTATAGCCTTATTTAATAATCTGTTAATGGCTATACGCAGCGTTCGATAATTCCTAAGATAGAACTGTTCTATACCTACAATAAAAAATTTAAAATTTCAATTGATTGAAATATGAAAAGATATAATGAATATAAAAAGATAAGATGATGAAATTCAGAGTAAAAATATTCGTTTGAAAAATATATGTCAATTGAAAATATGATCGAAATGATTAAATGTAAATGTTCGCCAACATGGAAATATATATGAGTTGTGAGGATATTCAATAGCATTGATAAGAAAAATGTCATTTATATATACACGTATCCAAGATTTTAATATAACCTTCGATAAACGAATTAAAATTTTATTTTAATAAAAAATAATTCACAGATATTAAAAACAATGAATTGTAAAAATTAAAAAATTAAAAATTTTTAATTTTTACAAGTAAGAAAAAGAACATTGAGATTAAATATGATAGATACTTGATAAATTGATAAATTAATAGAAAAAAAACTATAAAAAATGTCGAAATAATAATAATTTAATA